GATAACCAGCGAAGATCGAAAATCGAATGCAACTCATAATAAGGGCCAGAATATCAATATTGTTGTCGTCAATACCAAAATAGTATCAACAGCTGTCAACAGTTATCGACTTTGATGACGGCAATACCAATTCGGAGTCATCGACACTATTTTTGACAATATTGACATGATATTGACAACCGTAATAGGGGTGATTTATTTTAGCACGACAGTAGACAATGCCGATGTTGTCGAGTCGTACAAGTTAGCTCAATTTGCGACTTACGCAATGAGGCTGAATGTTACTTTCTTACACACTTTAAACAATTGACAGCGAATATATTTTTTGTGTAAATTGCTTTTTATTGAAGATGCTCTTAATTTTGCATATGAAGATTATGTACATTTTTCATTATTTTTTATAGATATACTATTTCTTATCGATTGTTTTTTTTTAAGATAAAGTTTGTCTTCTCTATTAATTACAAATATACGTACTTATTCAATTTTTTACTTCGATTTTGTATATTTATATTTTTTCATGTACATAAATACATACATATGTGTTCATATGTTTGTATATAAGTATATATATATTATTATATAGTACATACGATAATACACATTCTTGGTATATGCTTTCTCTGTTCAAGTTTTTTGTTTTTGTTTAACAATATTTAAGTGTTCTAGATTTTATTTTGGCGTAATATATGTATGTATGTTTTTATTCAATTAATTTAATTAATACGTAAGGGTATGTACAATATAGATACATACAATATTTATTCATACATACATATGTTTTTAAATCTATGTATGTACATATGTATATGTATGTATATAGATCCGTATAATTAAATTATAAAAACCCCGCTATTCCACAATTTTTTTTGTTAATTACTTTAAATTATGTTGTAAAAGATTTGATGTTTTCTTAGTTAACTTTAGATGTTTTGGCGATTTTGTTTTTTTGAGCGAACTGAAGTTGCTTAAAAACAAATTTATTTATAAACAATTTTTTTTCTGGGAAGTTTTTTGCTGGGCCGAAAGTAACCTAATTTTTTCCATTTTTGATTTGATAAAAACCTTTTTATTAATCATTTCAATGCGCCGTAAGCTTCAGCATTAGATGCGCTGAATAATTTTAGAAGTGTGGTGAAAAGAACGTAGCGTTTTACTATAGAACTACGGAAGAAAAATGTAGAATAGCTAATAATGTATCGAATATTTTACAACTTAAGAAATTTTGATGTGACAGATAAAACCGAATAGGGGTATTCTCGCGATGACAAAAAAGCTTCAAAAAACCTCGCCATTTTTTACTGAACTGTCATAACTTCTCGAAAAACTTTCTAATTGTGAGTTTTCTATTTTTTTTTAGTTAAACGGAATTAGTCAAATGCGATTAGGCATAAGTTAACGGGCAAACAGAAAAAATACAGCAGTGCGCCTCGACCACAGTATGCATGTCAAACTTCTCTTGATTAATATTTAGTTCGTTTCGTACAGAAAACGAAATTCGCCTTGGTCTTAATTTTCGTCTTCGTCCTCTTCGCATGCATTTCCGTCGTGGTATTTGTCGTCGTCATCTTATTCACCTTCGTATTTCTATTGGTTTTGGTTGCCGTGATCGTTTTCGTATACGTCGTCTTTGTCTTTGTGTTCGCCTTCGTATATGTACGTCTTCATATTTATCTTCGTTTCATATCCGTCTTTGTCTTTTCTTTCGTCTTCGTTATTCATATCGTATTCGTCCGCGTCGTCTTATTCGCCTTCGTACTCGTATTCTCCATGGGTTTGGTATTCCTATTCGTCGTCGTGGTATTCATCTTCGTCGCCTTACTCCCAGCCCAATATTCAATACATGTTTAGAGAGTTCAGTGGAAATTTCGAAGCTTACGAATCTTTTTGCATTGTAAGCGAATACCCCAATCTGGGGGTTTTTAGGCAAATCAAAAATATAAAAAATACTACTTTAAAATAAAAAAATACCATTTTAGCACAGCTAATACTAGGCTCAAATTCGAATTTAGTAATTTGTTTTTACTCAATTTAATCTTTTACATTTTGACATTAAAGTGCGATTTGTGCTGTAAAATATATATATATATATTTTTTTAAGTTGTCTCAAAAACCGTTCACTATATCAATACATATTGGCGCATGCTCGTACATACCCCTTTTTAACTGCAAATTTTTGTAGCATAAATTTTTTTCCTACATACAGTCATCACTCTAATTATGACTACTACTTGCAGTTGTTGCTATTCGAAACTTATTTCTCAAACTGCACACGTTTGACTATGTTTTTCATTCTCATTCACTTTTTTTAGTAAATTTGTGCAGAGTGCTTTACTTTACTTTTTTTTTCTAGCGAAACTAATTCTAATAATTTACGTTTCGTTCGGTCAGCTTACCGTTAACTGCCTGTGAAAACGATTTGGATTTTTTTTGAATTTACAAATAAATGACTATATAACTACTCATTTTTGTTTGCAAAACACATTCGCTAACAAGCAAATGCACTGTACATATATACAATTATAAATACATAATTATGCAATTATAAATGAAGAATTGGTTGCGGCCTAAAACCGACAGAATGGCTGCTTGTAGCAATTTGAAATTTAGTTGCTTGTTGCTTAATTAGAATATTACACACTAACTTATATATAAGGTAATATTTCATTTTATACTACATACATATATATATAATAATAAGAGAAAATAAATGTTCAGCAATTTGATACGATTTGCTCGTTGGCAATAAATTTTAGTTTTTATAAATAAGCCGTGTTTTGGATTTAGTAATTTTTAGAATTTCTACAATTTATACATAATTTTCTGCTGCGCTTATTTTGCGTCACGCAAATATTTATTAGGCGCTTTCCCCCCTTAACGTGCAACTAAATTAGTTTTAATTTAAATTTTCAATATTTGCAATTAACATTTTTGAATTCAAATTTTTAAAATCACAGTTTTATTATAAAACATACATACTTATGCATATGTATGCATGAGTGAAGAACAAATGTATGCAAAATATTTAGTACGCTGAGTACTAATGCTCATCACTTTATTTGACTTTCAATTAACAGCCAATTATTTTTTTGTCAAATTCATTTCTTTTTTTCTTCTTCAACAAAGCTGCTTACACATTTGCACCCAATTAACCAAATTTGCTAAAGCAATTATCTTAGTTATTTGAATGTGTGAGAGAATCAATAATTGTTTTAAATAATTATAAATTTTTTTTATTTTTTATTGCGAAAAGCATAACACAACTTAGTACGCTAGAAAACTTAACAATAACGATATTAAGTGTAGATTATTTAAGAAAATATTAGAAGTAATAAAACAATACAAATTAGTGCGCTATATGTAATATTCAACAGCATATTAGCTTCCTTTGATTTTTATTAAAACCAATACATATGCTATAACAAATGCGCGTATCTGTGTGTGTGTGTGTGTGCGTGTGCAAGGTGTAACCAAATAACCATTGAAAACGCGCATTTTCCGCATTCATTCATTTGCACGTTTGCAAGAGTTGAACAAATAACGTAATTTATTATCATTAATTAATTTATTTTTATTGTTATCTTTAGTTTAAATTATTAAAATTAAATTTTGCCACTAAAACTAAACTGAAACTTGTTTCAAATTGTGGACAAACAAACAAATTAAAGCAAACAAATATAAGTTTTTATGCTATTTGACCTGAAAAGAGCTTTCCGTAAGGTACATTTAAATAAAAACTGGTTTAAGGACTAATTAAATATAACTAATAAGTGGAATAACATATTTTTTTTATAACATTTATGTTTTGCTTGTTATGAAACAAAAAAACGAAACGATATATAACAACAAAGAAGAAAATTAATTATTACTTATGCAGGCCTATTTCCATTGGCATTGCCGTTCAAAAATGATTATTGCAACTCAAAATATGCAGCTAAATTATACAAAGTAACATTAACTGTTTGGCCGGCATGCTGTATCCTCTTTTGGGAGGCACTCTTGTTGTATATCCTCTATTGATCTGATGTTCATTACCAGACTTACGCCAATAATGGTATGCTGTATTATCTATGGATTCATAATTTAAGTTATAAAGCACGAGCTGCACTTAACTCTTTTGTAGCTTGGTGTGCAGGTACTGATTTTGAATGGGTCGGCGGACTTTTAGTAAAATGTGAGGTCTTTCATCTAAAAAGGTCCTATGGATATACATAGATATATACTTCAGTGATTATACTATTTTCTGGCTATGCAAAATTTATTGGAGTAGTCTTGAAAAGTAGATTGGCGCTTAGCTGCCTGGTGAGTTCATTTACTAAGCAACAGCGTTCGAACCTTGCCTTGTTATTGCAGTGGCATTCTCTACAACAACCGCTGTTAAAGAAAAACTGTGAGATAATAGCAGGTCAAAGTCAGATGCACAACACCTTTGTTCCAAAGATTTTGTAAAGAAAGTGATTTCTATTTCACCAACGCCGCGATTGCCAAAAAATAGTGCATTTATAGAACAGACATTTATGTTAAGAATTTGAATATAAACAAACATATTCCCACGCCTTTCACTTATATTCTTCTAACATCATTGTTGATAACAGAGGTCTGACTGTCTTGAAAAAGGACGAACAACTCATTTCAAATCAGCGATAGTGCAAGTTTCTATTATCGAAACACAGTTGCAGACCACGCACTCAGCACAGCCCTGAACAAGAACAGTTTCGGAAGCAATGTGTTGGAATAAAAGCAAAAACAACATTAACAAATACTTGAAATAATATTTACATAATTTTAGCATTCAAAAAGCAACAAAAATAATAATAAAATATGTCCCTTAGTTTTTTGATATTCACTTCCTCGAAGCGGTGCGGCTATTTTAGCACGCTTAAATTAAAAATAACAAACGCAAAGTACAGCTCTCACTTTGTTCAATCATCTTCTTTCGACCCACTCTCTACTTGTTAAACGCATCCTATACATATCTTCTATGCAATATAATTACTCCCTCCCTCTCTTAATTCCTACTTATAACCTGACCAGTTTTGGCATTCACTAATATCGTTTTATGGCTTTGTTGTTGTTCATCGCTACAGTTGCTATTGTGGTTATTGTTGTTGTTGTTATTATTATTCGCGCTACCACCAATGCCATTCATATGACTATTGTTGCTGCTATTATTACGACTTATGCGGCGACGCAGGCGATCACTAATATTTTCGTTAGTGTTCATATTATTGTTGTTGCTGTTGCTGCTGCCACCTTCGCGCTTAATAGCTAAGCAGCCATCATTTTTGTATAGTATAATCTTGTTGCAAGGCTTCTTAATGCTTTCCGCTGCAGCAGCTGCTGTTGATGATTTCTCATCTTTCACTTTAATGCTGCTGCTCTTTGGCGCAGTTCCCAGCTGTTGCTGCTGCTCCTTTGCCACATTTTCATTTACCACATGCTCTTCATTGTTGTTGTTATGCTCTTGTTTAATATTCAATTGCAGCGCTGCCGTTGCTTCAGCCGTCGCTCTGCGCTCTTCATTGCCGGCGGTGGTTGCGTCTTTCTGCAATTCGCTGTCTACAGCCGCATTCGCTTCTTCGCCGGCGCTCTCATCGCGTTCAACACTCAATTCCAAGTTGTCGTAGGAGGTGAAGAATGCTACTGACTTCAATTTTTCCACTGCGCTGAAATGCACGCGCGTATGTTCATCAATATGCTCCTGCTTGGCATCTGTATAATCGCAGTGTTCGCAGGTGAATGCCTCTCTTTGATTGCTAATGCAAATGTGATGCTGCAAGTGCGCCTTGTAGAGTGTTGTATGCTTTGTTTCGTAGGGACAATAGAGGCACTTCTCAACTGGCGCTGGCGATGCTACGCTGGATGTGAAATCACTGCCACCATCAACAGCTAAATCGCTTGTAGCTACCGAAGCGCTGGTCGATGGCATATTCGATGAATCATCGGCGTCGGCGGCTAGCTCTTTGGGCGTAGGTGTGGGTGTAGGCGTCGTAGGAGCAGGTGAACTGCGCATTGCTCCACCATTAGCACTACCACCAGTCATGCCTGACTCTAGCTGCTTTTTCAGCAGCGAGTTGGCTGTATCGAAATGTGATGTCGCCGCGCTTACTGCGGTTGATGCTGTTATCGCTGCGGGCATCATCGACGATGAGGTAATGCTTGCATGTTGTTGCTGCTGCAGCTTTTGATCCTTGCATTGATCATTCAAATCGTTATCAACAATCCAGATCGTCTCAGGCGCCTGCTGTAAGCTCTTGGCCAATGTGATTTGCATTAGTTTGGGTGGAGCATATTCCAAATCCTCAGGCACGTGTTTGTATAGCTCGGCGCACTTATCTTGGTAGTGTTGTGTGTGCACATAACGGTGTTTCTGTAAGTGTGCTTCCTGCACGGTGCCATAATCGCAAAATTCGCATTTGAAGGCTGGTTGTGGCGGTGGTGGTGGCGTCGATGTTTGCGGACTACTGGTGTTATTATCCAGTGCATCGCTTGCGCTGTGGCATTTTATGTGCTCTTCTAGTTCCGCTTTTGCGTTCGAAGTGTCGCTGGATTTTTGTATGTAACGCGCAGGACATTTAGGGCAATAAAGTATGCGTTTGATTTGGTTTTCATTGGATGGGAGCGAATGCGGGTGTGTCTGTTGTTGTTGTTGTTGTTGTGGTGTCGGTGTTTGGCGTAGCTGCTGTGGGTGCTTTTGATGTTGCTGCTGCTGCTGTTGTTGTTGTTGTTGGACAGCAGATATTTTCTGCTTTAAAGCTGTTAGATCAATAGCCAATGGCGAGGAGAGTGATGATGCGTCCTGGAAAATACAAAAAAAATGAGTGTTGTTGTGGATTAGATAAACTAACCAAAATACGTTATGGGACCACCTCTGGGACACTACCTTTATGTTATGCGGTAACATACATAAAAAAAAAAAATATTCCGACGAACTTTTTGGAAGTCGGTTAAAAAGGTTGCTTATGCAGTTTTAAAATGTGATCTTAGACTGAATTCGACCACCGTTTTTCTTAGTAATTTTTGTTATCGATGTTCACCTCACTGACGCATTTATCGATATTATGGAATTATTTATCGATATTATGATCGGTAATACTATCGATATACATATTTCTAGATCAGATCTAGATTTGAGGTGATAAGTAAAATGAATTTAGATTAAATGATATTCTTTCTCTTAGTAGCTGTTGTTATCGATAGTAAAAGAGATATGTTTAACAGTGTCGTTATCGATATCTGTACACCTTTATATACACGCAGTATGTCGATATACATACACATTTTGTTATAAACATATTAATCGATAACTTTGTAGATCGATTTTTTTTTGTCAAGTTCATTTATCGCTAACTTGTTTTATGGATACAATTTCACGCTAACGAAACCGAAAAGCTTTTTGTGTACGTATCGAAAATTGTATTTTTATACCGATACTAAAAGTTTTTGAGGTGAAACAGAGGGCGATCACGGCATTCGATATCGAATTTATCAACATTGTACATTGTAATCCGGATTGTTTCAAATTCTTTAATTACGTACATATTTATATATTAGATTATATATATTTATCGATAACATAATCGATAAAGCTATCGATATACATATCGTAACCTTAATTCACAAAGGCCCTAACAAACACTTTTTTCGGAACTGCGTTCTTCGTAGATTTTGGTAGGTTGTATTAAAATACACCTTCAATAAAAATTTTGAAGAGTCTGTACCAAAAACAACGAAGTTGCATGCCACTTTTTAAAAAGCCCTAACTGTTTTTGATACTCGTTTTATAATGTTTTTCGCTTCTCCTGTAAAATAGCGAAATTCGTGGTTAATGCCTTTGTGAATTAAGGTGAAAAGATACACATCTTTTTTATATAAATATAATTCACATACATATATACATATGTATAGCTGTATTTATAGATTTTATTTTATTTTAAGCTATTGATCAACGATTTATCGATGAAATTGCGAACTAACGAAATGAAAAACGTTTTTTTTTTTTTCAATTTCATTAAATGAGAAATTATTCTCATCATCCTTACCTGTTGCGCCTGCGCCACCGCAGCCAATTGCAAGGCCATACTGAAATCCATCGAATTAATGGCTGCACTCATGTTGCCCAACTGGCTGGTCGCACTTAAATTATGCTGCTGATGCACGGTGCGCATGTGACTGCTCAAATGCTGCTTCTTGGCGCAAACGAACGTACACAACGAACATTCGTACTGGGTGGGCTTATGCAAGGAAATGTGATAATTCATCTGCGATTTACTCTCCGAAATATACGGGCAGAGAGGACACTTTTGCTGCTTGCACTTGGAGTTTAGCTGCTGCTGCTGTTGTTGTTGTTGTTGCTGTTGTTGCTGCGATTGTGCTTGTTGCTGCAGCTGTTGCTGTGCAGCATTGGCCACCCCTGGCGGTAGGCGTGTGATTTCAATTTGATCATTTTGCTGCAATTGCTGATGCAACATCAACTCATCGCTGCTTAGACCCAGAGCGGCAGCTGCTGCAACGGCAGCTGCAGCCGATCCATTGCCTGCAGCTGCAGCAGCCTTGTAAGTGGCTGCTATATATGCAGCAGCGGCCTGCTGTAGTTCCTGTGGTGTGGTGGCTGCATTAGCGGCAGCGGTACCGGCGAGTGGTGAATGCAAAAGATTTTGTTCGTTTTTGTTGTTGTTGTTGCTGCTCATAAGTACTGAGTTACTGGGCGGACCAGAAAGGTTGTTTAAAGTGTGAGGCGATTGTTGTTGTTGTTTCTGCTGCTGGTGGTGTTGTTGCTGTTGTTGTTGTTGCTGTAAAGCCTTAAGCGTAAGCCCGTAATTGGTGGTCTCATTCGAGGCGCCATTGCCGAGCGGTCGATAAATAGGCGGCGCATTGCGTTCGTTGATGGTGTTGACGGTGCGATCAAGGGTTTCGATGCGTATGTCGCCAGCGTGTTTCAAGCGACAATGCCGCTGTGGGTGGGAGAGAGTGAAAGAGAAAGAGAGAAAAAAAGTGAGGTTAAACAAATGGCATGGAGAATGCCTAAAATATTTATGTATGAATTAAAAAAAAAAACACATACATACGTATATGGTAAATTTAATATAAAATCTATGAGTAATAAAATTGTGGAAAAATAAATATTTCTATAGAAATGAAAATAAAACTTAATTGGCATCAATACAAGCAAAATAGACTTAAATTAATTAAAAATACTTAAGGAACTCCCTTTAACGCAGAAATTTGTAAACACTTTGATGTTTTATACAAATGTTGAGTCAGTAGGGGTATTCACTTAAAGCGGATTAAGTTCGAAAAGCCTTTAAAATCTTAAAAGTTTCCAAATTTCGACATTTATCAAAAATATTTTACGTGCTTGAGATCGTTACATATTTTAGTTTAAGGCAATTACTTAATAAATACAAATCGTGTCAAAATTATAAACGCACGGAATATTGGCACGTTTTAACAATTATTATTTTTTCATTTTTATTTTATTTTAATTTTATTTTTTTTCTAATATTGCGCAAAGTTTAAAACTTGTATCTATAGGGTATTTGCTAAAGACTAAACTATATTTTTTTATAACCAATTTATTAAAATTAAATAACCAAAAGACAGTAATTTGATAAAACTTATCAATATGTGGTGCACTTTTAATTTTGAAACGGTGTGTATTTTGTGACTTTTGAGGTTTTTGACGCTTTTACCACTATAAGTGAATACACCTACTGCATATTTTGTTTCGAAAACATAAAAAAGCATATGTGAACGTGGACACTTCCTCGGCGTAGACACTTTTACGTTAAAAATGGATAAGATGATTTATGTGTGGAATGCGCACCAGACACCTTTACAATTTCATACATTTAATATTTATTTAAAAGTTTTGTTTTATGAATTTTGTGTTAAATGAAAATATAAGTATTTAAAATGTAATGTTTTTAATTGAATAATACACCAAAACCCAATTTTAAATGTAGACTTCCTTAAATGGACCAATAATTTTTATTCATGATTAACGTTAAGTAAAAAACGAGATAATGAATTCGTTTACACCAATAACCAATAAATATGTAAAGTAAAATATGTAGATAAAAAATATTAAACGCCTCATACCACACCAATATTTTTGAAATGTTACTTTTATGCGGTTATTGTTGTTGTAAACATGAGACAAAAATTTATTAAAATTGGCATATACATATTTACCAGTAGGACGTTTACAATTTTCACTACAAACACAATGGAAGTTTCAATGTAGGTAGGTGTTATTTTTTTGAATTTTTTTTTTTTGAATTTTTGCGACGTGCAACCAACGGACGCGACACATTGAGGACTTTCGGGCGCTAAAAATTGGAAGATAAACTAAAAAAAACTAGTTTGGCTGAACGGCGTCTGAATTTGAGAATATAAGTTCTACTAAAAGCGGCGTGCATTAAAGGGGATATAAAAACGAGTAACTAGCTGATTCTCTGAGATAAGAATACGTCCTACGTCCCTAATTTGTTTTATGAATTTTGAAAAATTTTTTCGTTAACCCAGCAGAAAATCCGCAATTGCTGCTTATGTGCACAAATGAGCATCTCTGGAATAGTTCAGGGGGTAAATTCTGTAACCAGTTATCGATCGAAAATTGTCGCTAGTTAGGACCATTTGGGTAATACTTAAGGATCATTTCGGGACCGTTTCGAGTCTGGTTTACGACTATTTTTAGGACCATTTTGGGACCAGTTGTGGCCATTTCGAGGCTAAATTCGATTTAGTTAATTTTGGGACCAGTTAGGGTATCATTTTGGGACTAGTTTGGGATCATTTTGGGCCAAGTAAGGGAGAGTATTTCACCTCAGGACAATTTTGGAACTGGAAAAAAAATTATGCGAGAGATGCTTGAGCCTTAAGCTTGCGTAAGCTGGACAGCCAAGGTGCAGATGAGGGGGTGATTTCACCTTGGGCAGTGCTTTTCTAAGCTTTCTATTGATTTTACAAACGGGCGATGGTTAGTTTACCAGTATCGAGAGATAAACTTTCCTGAACTTCAAAAGCTTCTTAGACAACCTCCGATTACTCTCGAAGGCCAGCAGGCTGAAAACACCTCCAGCTACTCCTTGCAACTTAAGACAACAACTTCTTTCCACAATGATATCTTTTTATATCGCATCGATGCAGTTATCGATTAATTTGTTTTCTGTTTGGCGTCTCTAGTGTCGAATAAGTGCTTTTAGAAGCTTTTAACTACTATATTACATTCGTTATGCAAAGATTTCCTAATATTTTTATACGATCATTCGAGACCCAAACATTTCCCGCGGTAATCGCTTTTTAAAGCTTTCTGCAGCATTTGAATGAGTCTGCACAGAATAAATCTCTCCTGGCCGTCCCTGTATACAAGAGCTTTTTAAAGCTTTCTATACATCTTAGATCAGTCACAATCAAAACAAATCCCACTGGAGAAGCTTTTTAGATATTTTGATAGATTTTCTATGGACACTCTCAGAGCACTCTCATCTCTGTAAAAGCTCTCTCTGGTTAGCGCCGTTTTATATAGACCAGTGCTTTCAATTGATTTTGAATAGAAATACATACTATGTAGTACATCTTGTATAAAAGTTCTTTCTCTGATCGTTACGGGCATACTTAGACGTCCAAATGATAAAAGCTCCATCTAGTCAACATTGAATTAAATTAGTGTCGACCAAAAATTATCTTGCGCTAGATTTTTGAATCTTTTTATAGACTTAATATGGACGTGCACATATTAAAAGCTTTATATGGTCATCGCTGCTTTAGTGCATAGTTTTATACTGTCTTAGTTTATCGAAATGAGCAAACGTGGTTTGTTGACCAACAAAGAGCCAGATACTCGTATCCATTCAGGACTGATTGATTTAAAATAAAATTTATGAAGGTACGTATGCAAAGCATAGACTAGGCGGATTGAGAAAAATACTTTAATATTTAATGGGAATGAAAAACTTGCTATCATAAAAAAATTATGTTTTACAAATTGCTACAAAAAATAGCTCTTTTTCTCTGTGAATCAGCTTTTCTACTCGTCATATTTTTGGATTAGATCGGATCGAAAATGAATTTACAAAACCTTCGAATATACAACTTACTTTTCATAAAGTAGATAGTTAAAAACACGCTTTCCTTTAACATATGTATAATTTCTTTTTTCGAGCCGAGTCTTAAATTCATTTTCATTTTACATATCTTTACACTGCCTTTTGCAATAACGCAGCTATACCCTGTATTTTGTTAGGGAAATTTGCGAAATTTGTTTTTGTAAAAACTTAAATGCAATATACATAAGTATACGAAAAAGAAATGGCAAATGTGTTAAGTGCATTCAAGTTACGATTAGTACATAAACCGAGTAAGTATAAAAATACCTGAATGACATGCTTCCAATTTGATACTTGATGACAATGACCGCAACGATACGGCGACGGTTCACGTCGCTCGCTGTCGTTAACTAATAAATTACTACAATTGTTATTCAGAATTTGATTTTGATTGAGATTTTGTGTTTGATTGAAATTGCTAGCCGACGATGCATTGGTCGAGGAAATACATAACGATGCCGCCGAGGGCGGTGACAATGTGACCGCATTGGAAGCATAAAGAGTTGATGCTGCCGCTGCCGCCGCCGCCGCCACTGTAGCCGAACTTAATAACAAATTAGATGAAGATGATGTTGTACCACCACCACTGCTGCCAGCAGTTGTGCGACTGCTAGCTACTGTTGTTGCTGTAGTAGTAGTAGTAGGAGGTATGGAAGTATTGCGATTTAAACTAGTAGTAGTAGTAGTAGAATTATTAGAACCAAATATAATACCACCAATACATAGACTATTATTATTATCACTAGGAGTACCAACGACATCAACACCACCACCACCACTACTTTGACTACCACCCATATAGGTGATAGCGCCATTATGACTGTTGTTGTTGTTGTTGTTGCTATTGGAAATAGATGAAGCACCGATGATACCCATTTGCATATGATATGGATTGCTAGTGGACTTTATTCCCAGAGATGCGCTAGTGGTAGTATTAGAACTGGTAAGAGTAGTAGGAAGTGTAGTTACTGTTGTGGCACTGGGCGTGTTGTGTGCAGCACTAGCACTTGGTGATGAATGTAATAAAGCAGCGGCGCCACTGCTTGCATCTGCTGTGGTTGTGGGTGAATCGAAGACATTGTGTCTCGTTTCGCTTTCACTGGTGTGTTTCGTTACCGTTAATGCACCCATTACCAAATTTTTATTGCTATTATTGTTATTAGTATGACCACCGACACCAACACTACCACCAATGGTGTAGCTAATGTTGTTGTTGCTGATTGTAGGCGAATGCAGTTGATTGCGTAGTGAATGTACGGAGGATGATGCGTAAGTGCCACGCGGTGAAGTTAACAAATTTTGCAACGATGATGCTGATGTGGCCGCACCGACCATACCAACTCCAGCACCACCACCACCACCACCAACACCAAAATTGCTGCCGCCAGAGGAGTGTGGAGAAGACGATGTCGACGATGAAGCTATAGTTAAGCTATTGTGAAAGTTGCTTTGGTTGTTTTGTTTGGGCGACGTTGGCCTTTGGGCACTTGCCTCGTTTTGTATCGATTTCTGCTCACCGTGCTCTAAAATAGAAGCAGTTGCTTTGGCAGGACTCTTGCCGGCTAGCGATAATGCCAGGCAGCCTAGTGGTGAATTTGGCGGTGCTCCTTGCATCGCTTGTTGCAGTAGGCCGGCGGAGAGTATGGAATGTTGTTGTTGTTGCTGCTGCTGTTGATCAGTGTTCGTTGAAGAATTCGAGTTGGGTTGCGGTTGTTGTTGTTGCTGCTGGGAAAGGCACATAGCGGCGAGAACTTTGTTCATATAGATATTTGGATTAACGGCCACTTGAAGTGGTGTGTTGTGTTGTTGTTGATGCTGAGAGCTCGCCGACTTGGGTGAAGTAGTTGCTGTAGCTGTTACTATTGGGTAGTTAGGATCCTGGTAATGTATCTTGACGTGGGCGAGTACGGCATCACGATTGGCATGACTGGGAAAGGGAAAGATAAGTGGAGAACGGTAAAAAAATTTGAGGTTAAGCAAAATAAAATAAAGTACAGTGAAGTAAAATATAGTAAGTATAGATAGTAAAGTACAGTATAGCACAATATAATAAAGTTCATTAAAGTACCCTTTAGTACAATAAAGTACACTATAGTATAATACAGTACAGTAAAGTATACTAAATTTGAGTAACGTATAACAAAGTACAGTAAGGTATAATTAACTTATGTTAAGTTAAGTGTTGCAAAGTAAAGTACATAAATTAAAGCAAAGAAAGGTTAAGCAAAGTAGAGTTAAGCAAAACAATGTAACACAAATCACAATAAAATAAAATAAAATAAAATAAAATAAAATGACGTAAAAATAAAATAAAATAAAATAAAGAAAAGTAATATAAAGCAAAAAAAGTCAAGTAAAGTAAAGTACAGTTAAGTAAAGTAAATGTAAAATACCGTAAAGTAAATGGCCCAAATAACATAGAAATAAATTAAAGTCAAAACCAAAAATTTTCTCCTCATTTACTCACCGAAAAGTGCACTTGCGACACCTATAGAATGTTTTCTTTTCGTTGCCCTCCTGGCGCACATCTGTGACCAGATCATCACTAGGCTTCATAAGAGGCGGTGGCGAACGCTTAACAGAGGAAATAGTTACTGAGGGTGTAATCATTGTTGCTTGACCCTGTTCGGAGTCTTTTTGTTGTTGATGGTGTTGTTGTGCCATTGCAGCATTCATCATTGTTGCTAGCAATGGTAAACGTATGAAATCGTCGGCTAACTGATCGTTGCCATTATTATTACCACTACAATTATTACAACCGGCGCTAGATTTCGATTGTATTGGCTCTAGTGTTATATCCTCCTTGATGCCATTCAAATGAGTAGAGGTCAAGGCATTAGGTACCACTTTTTTATTGTAATCGTTGATAAAGGATAACGAAGCTACCTGGTTTGGTGTCATTTCGCCGGATTTCATTAACTTTGGATCGCCATCTTCTTCGGTTACCTTCATTAATGTGATGTATTTATTGTATTTGGTGTAATTACGACGACCCGTTTCGTCGTTCATCAGCACACGTGCATTCTTGTGGCTGGGATCACGTATGGTCTTTAGGCGAATGTGCTTGGTGATATCCCAACGCCAATTGGAACGATATGAACAAAGCGAGCATTCAAATGGTTTCTTATTCAAATGACCGACAATGTGTACGTGAAAACGCGAAGCTGTTGAGGCCCAGAAAGAACAGTGCGGACACTTGTATACTTTCTTCAAAGAAGAATTAGCTACTTCTTCTTCCGGCGTCATCTTTTTCGTTACCTGTAGAGAGTGAAAGTTTCAAATTTCATTTTGTACCTAACACTCAAACCGTTTGCTAGTGGTGGTTGAGAGATGGATTAAATTATGATAAAATAGAAGAACCTTTAACTCACCTCACCATAACCTGGCGCCGTTTCAACACCATAATAGCTAATCTCTTCACAAGTTGCACTGCTAGCGCCGTATGCGCTGCTACCGGATGATTCTGCGGTATTATTTGTCTGCCCCCTACTATCCGAGCACTGACTTCCTTCACGCTGCCCAGTGTCACCACCAGGCATTTTATTCCAGATGAATACGCGATTCTCCATCGGATGTTGGTCATTAGTGGAGTCAGCACCACCAACACGACCGGCGTTGCTGTCACCAGACATTGAATCGAAAGAGTCATTGCCACATCGACTAGCCTCGGTACATTGCTTGAGATGATTCAACAGATCTGCAGATGATTTGCAACGATGGCGACAATGCTGGCAACGCGTTGAACCGGTTACACTCAAATTAAGTGCCGAATGCGATTGCCGATCTTCATCATCGGCAAAATCTATTTCCAGGCGATCGTCTGTATCATCTTGCTCTTCCTCAACATCATCTTCGACGATAGCAGCGAAATTGCATGTTTTGCGGTGGATGATCGACTCTGACAGACACTTGGCCATATGACCACATGGACAGATGAGATTCTCGCTTGGTGTGGGTTTCTTGTGAAGCAAACTACGTGAAGCATGGCTGGATGTGGACGCAACGGTGGGAGTTGGTGATAATTGAGCGGCGTCCGATTTCTCGAGTGGTTGCAACATCTCGGAGATTTGCTTATCATTAAAGAATATAGAAGCGATATCGGTAAGGGAGCTACGCGAGGCAGCGAACTCCTTGGGAAGATTCATAATGCTGCGAATTCATAAGAAAGGAAAGCATACATTACAAGAGGACCAAAGTATAAGTGAAGCTTAAAATTTCCCTATTTAATTTAGCACATATATCTACATACTAATATACAAATACCCATATACATTATATATATAATATTATATTATATATTATGTACATTCATATATGTAGATATATATTTATTTATTTATTTTTTTTCAGTCTTGGAATACAGAATATTCTTACAGACTACTCAGCTAACACTAATTAAGTGCTACTAAAACTTAAAAATTAAGATAAGTTTTAAATACATTAAGTTCACAAGAGCTAAGATTAAATACATCGCTAGTGGTGTAGCGCAGAGAAAAATGTTCGCAGATGAGTAACCAAGGCAGGGCCTGATTGTGAGAAATCAATGTTCAAAGCATTGAAGACTAGGTTAAGTTCAGCACACGTTCTAGAGATCGGAGCGTTGGCACCATAACTACTTCTAGAGAAACCTATTTTAAAGAAATCCCAATGGCGGAGGATTCTAGAGGGAATATTAAATGCAATCTTTTCTAGAAGAGAAGGGCAGTCAATTGAGCCAGTTATGATGTTAACGACAAACGTGCACGCTAAAATGGATCTTCTGTTATACAGTGTTGTAAGGTTGATTAGTTGGCAGCGAGAATAGTATGAAGTGGCAAAGAAAAATTTAATGAACGGAGAGCAAATTTTATAAAAACTTTTTGAACACGTTCTAATCGTTTAGCTAGAATTTTAGTGTAAGGCCTCCAAATAAACGTTGCATACTCCAGTCTTGACCTGACTAGTGCACAAAACAGAGTTTTAAGAGTGTAAGGGTTCGTAAACGCCTGACAGTTTCGGCGGATAAAAGCTAACATCGAGTATAGAATATGATGTATGCAAAGTATTGAGATGTCTACTGTAAGATACATGAAAGCATTTGCCGATATTTAGCGTCAACTGATTTTTGCAGCACCATTCATGAACTCTGTTCAGGTCCGATTGCAGGTTTGCTGGGTCATAAAGATTTTTGATAGTTGCAAATATTTTAAGGTCATCAGCATAAAGTAGGTAATTAGCAAATTTGAAACAAGAACTGATATCGTTGATGAAAAGCACAAAAAATAGGGGACCGAGAATGCTGCCTTGAGGGACACCCGAGGATGAACGGTTGTGAGGTTGCATTATCGACTACTACAAAGCAGCGCCTATCGGTTAAGTAGGATTTAACCCAAGACAAAAATGTCGAATGAAATCCAAAAGAGATCAGTTTCAGCAGAAGTAAACGATGTGATACTTTGTCGAAAGCTTTCGAGAAGTCAGTGTAGATGGTATCCACCTGAGCTTTGTTTTCAAAAGCAGATAAGCAGTAATCACTGAAAATAGCCAAGTTTGTGACTGTTGAGCGGTTAGCGAGGAACCCATGCTGATTAGTACAAATTAGGTTTTTAACAGCAAAAGACAGTTTACAGCTTACAACAATCTCAAATAATTTGGAGACTGAAGATAGCGTTGATATCGGTCTGTAGTTGCGGACATCATTTTTGTTCCCACTTTTAAAGATAGGGGTTACAGACGTTTGTTTTCAGTCGTCCACAAATATGCCCGAGGCCAGAGAGTGATTGAAGATTGCAGTAAGAGGCTCAGCTAAACATAGACAGTTTTTCAACAGAAAAGCCGAGAAACCCTCTACATCGCTTTGTGAAGATGGCTTAAGATCACCAATTCCTTTGATAACGTCCTCGGTTGAAATGGTTAGCGAACCAAAATTCAGCGAAGAGTCACTAGAGGAGCTAGAGCCCGTTATATTCGAGTCGATGTCATTGACAAAGTTAGCGCAAAAAAACTCAGCGAATAGGTTTGCCGAGTCAGAGGCTGAATTTGCGGAGCGACCATTGTAGAAAACATTTGTTGGAATTGATGAGCAAGATTTTCGGGAATCAATGAAACGCCAGAAAGATTTGGGATTCGAGATAATATTAGCTTCAAAGTTTAAAATATAATTTCGGTATAAAAATTTGTTCAAACAATTAAATTCTTTTAGAAAGTACCGGAACTTAAGAAGATGCGCGGAGTCGTTTGAGGATTTATACAATTTGCTAAATTTGTTTTTTAAATTTTTTAGATGCTTTAAACGCTTCGTGTACCACGGTAGTTTGTACACCTTCTTCTTAAGAATAGGGTTGTACTGTAGGCATAGCTCATAGAGGGTGGTCTTAAAAATACGGTAACAAGAGGTTACATCACTGCCACGGAAAGTATAACTCCAATCTATATTTGATAGGGCACCATTTAAGGAAGAAAAATCACACGCTTTATAGTTAAAATTAATACTGCGATCTTCCGGCAATGAATCAAAGTTATAAAAAAAATCTTGCAGACAGTAGTGTTGCAGAATAGTTATAAAGTGAAGTAATAAAAATAAATTTTAATTCAGTTGTCAATAAAACTCACCTTGGTCCATTATTTTTCGGTATCGGAATGAGATTCGGTATTGGCCGCTTTGCTTTTGGCGTTAGTGATACACTCAAACTTTGATTATGCATTGACGACGTGTCGGAGGAGCCACCTTTCGCAGACAAGTCGGTCGGTTCTTCCTCCTCATATTTGCTGCGTTTAGTGTAAGGCCCTGCGGCTACGAACGTTTCATCGTATTCATCGAGATTGTTATTATTGAAATGATCCTCCAACAAATCAACAGAATCGCTTAGAAAATCTTCACGTAAATCTGTACCACCGACCTTGTTTGGTCGTCGTCCCAGCGACATGCCCGCTGCATGCCCAACCGGTGGCACATGATGATTCATTTCGTGCACCGTCAGCGATTGCTTGATATCGGCTGTAAAATCGCAGGCAGCACACTTGAATGGACCTGCACCACCATGATTTTTCATATGCCGATCGAGATTCCACTTATAAGGAGTACGAAAATCACACGTGACACATTTGATCATAGGCATGGAGTGATATTTGACGTGTTTGCTGAACCGTGCCTTAATGTGTGTTACATACGAACACTTCTCACAGCGGAAAAATTTTGTCTTACAATGCTCATCTAATTCGTGATCTACCAATTGTGCGCGGAAGAGTGTGGTGAAATCGCAAAGGCTACACTTCAACAGCCTATTCTGGGTGGGCTCATCTCCAACGTAGTTCAGTGAAACCCCACTGGAATGCAATGCAGCTGCGGTAGCGGCGTCAGCTCCATGCCCAGACGACACTGAGTCGGTGGGTGATGGTGAAAGCTCAATGATGCGGGTATGTGCCGTAAGTGATTGCTGATGAGCTGGTGGCAATTGAAAAGCTGGAAGATTTCCGCTGCCGTTATTGCTGCTAGAGCCATTTACAAAGGCACTTGCATTGTTGCTGCTGGGGGTGGCTGCATTAGCTGGCGATTGACGACGTTGTGCTTCGGATGCAGCCGCTGAAGCAGCAGCTGCTGTTGCTGCCTGCATTTCTTGTTCGTATGCATTCTGTGCTTGTTGACGGGCGTCTAGTTCACGCTCACGCTGGGCCTGTAACTCACGCTCATAAACAACGGCGATAAGGGATTCCCGCTGCAGCTCCAGTTCGCGTTTAACCTGTAGGGTTAAAAAGTTGATTTTATTAGTTTCCTACAGATGATTTTTATTAGTAATTAGTAAGAAAGAATACCAAATATATGTACATAGATGAGTTGGTTTTAACTATGATTATCTACTGCAATAGTAGTTGCAATTTGAGGCCCCTTGAGTTATTTAACTTTCAGATCCCCAACCATTTTTATACACGATTTGCCTCTTAACTCACCTCCTCATAAGTCGGCACTTTCGACACACCTTCACTCATTATGACATTGCCTTCGCTGCTGCCACTCATATCACTCGGTGCAGCGCCCAAACCCACGCTTTGTTCCAACTTTCGCTTGCGTGCCTCCCGACTCATACCGCGCTTGCCACGCGGCTGCCCGTGTCCACCGGCCACACCATCGGTGCAGCCGTGCACCATTTTCATGTGCCGCACCAACTTTTGAAAATGTCGCGACGCATACAGGCACAGCTTGCACTTATTGATGACGATTTTTTCGCCATGAACGTCTCGCAGATGCGTAAGATGATACCGCGGATTTTGCGTGAAGTAAGTGCAGTAACTGCAGCTGTAATTGCGCTTGATTTTACACTGTGGCAGCCCCTCATCTTTCAGCTCCATTGCCTGCTGATGAGCTACCGCCGAAGCAACCGTATTTTGTTGCTGTTGTGCGGCATTTTGGTGTTGCTGATGCTGTTGTTGTTGTAGGTGATATTGTGCAGCTGCGGCACGATAGCGCTCTAATTGTTCCAGTGCACTAGTTGACAAGTTGGCGGTGCCACTCGGTTGCGACTGCTGCTGCTGCAACGGCGAAGGGCTACTATGCTTGTGGTTATTGTTGTTTTTCGTGGAGGCGGCACCCTGATCCAAATACAATTGATTACCACTGACGACGCTGCGCACAATTAGCGTGTCGCCAGAGCGTTGCACCATCGAGGGTAGTTCCATAACTTGATTTTTTTGCAACTGTAATTAAAAGAGAAAATGATATTTAAAAGCTGCACAAAAAGTTTCGTTTGCAAAAATAGGTACTAAAAATGTCTAACAAATCAGTAGTAAATTAGACTGCTGCTTGTTTCGTTGTTTTTTGTTCGATTGATCGAAGTTAGATGAATTTCTTTATTCTTCACTCATGATACAAAAAAGAAGGTAGTTCCATTTAATGACATTCGTTGTTGTTGCTAACCATTTGACTTTTAATAAAATTATGACATTTCATAAAATTCATGCTACCTGATCACCAGAGATAATATTTTTTTTTTGTAAAAGTAAACAAAAATGTATGAAAATGAGTGAAGTTTAGTGAAGTTATTGAACATATATGAAAGGAGGGCTGCATGACCATCCGTCACCTCTCGAATTCAAGTACAGATTTCGATCATACCTTCTAGGTAATTTTTTAACCACTTAAAGAAATTATTGTTGTTGTCATAAAGATTCTAAAATGTATGCATGAACTTTATTAGGGCGAAAAGAAACTATTTTGAGCACGGAAACAAATGTTGAGTCTTCAAGTGAAGTAATGTTAAAATTTGAAGAGGAGTTGCTCAGTGAAAATGTTTTCAAACCACTTAACGATATTGAAATATCCGCAGAAGAAGAACTCGAGGTAAACTCCTTACCCTTTCGTTTTTATTTGATTTCTAATTTTTTTAAGTAGCTCGCAGAAGAGCATGAAGCAGAAGATTTCATCAGTCCACTCAAAGATGTGGAATATGATGGACTTGAAAATTTTGCCGGCTACATAATTTCGAAAATGGGGTTGACAAAACTAGGCTTCAGGACGCATGTATAAAGTGATCAAAATTATACGTATGTTAACTGTTTATCGGAGGGCGGTCTGTACAAGCCTAATTCAAGTTTTTTGCATACATTGGAAATTTTGAATTCAAAATTTGTTGAAATTAATGGTGATTCGCTAACCACAAAGCCAAAATTTTTGCAAAATCTGATGAGAAATTTAAAAGTAAATTTGGACCAAAATATTATAAAAAGATTTTATTTGGGAAGAACATTCTTTAGAATTCGATTTTTAAATCGCAAGATTAAAGAAACATTAAATTGTATATCAAAATAAGAAAATGAAAAAAATAACAACATAATGCACTAATGGTTTTTATTATAAAATAAAAAGAATAATTACAATGTAACAGTTTACATTTTATATATCTTTAATAAAAGAGGGGCAAACCACGTAAGTAAAAAGATATCAAGTACTGATTGTGAGTTTTGATTTGAAATATTCTCACATTGGTAAAAATATGGGAAAGAAAATACTCCGATCTATTGTTTTAATATTATCAAAGTGGCAAGGCCGTTGATAATACTGACAATTTATGAAACTTCAAAAAATTTTATTATCCGTCAAAAGTTGTTAATTGAAACTACCTTCTTTTTTGTATCATGTTCTTCACTAATTTGCGTAATAAAAATTTCAAAACTTGGCTCATGCGATCGGTTCGAGTTTCTTTGAGGCAAGTAAATTTTCCATACCACAGTGAATCCAGCTGAGTAGGCGCACATAAACACCGGATAAGTAGATTCCAAGGCGAATTAATATAAGGTGATAGCAGGAGTACAAAAACAAAAATTTACATGTATTTTGTTTTTGCTTTGGCGGCATAAACTGTCAAAATCTGTAACAGTGTGTGTAGAAACAAACAAAATTTTTTAATTTGATATCAGAAGCCGTGCGGCGAAACACATACACAATATCAGCTGAGCTAGTAACACCACCTTATATAAATTCGCCTTGGTAGATTCCAATTAGATTAGCAGCTGTTGAATGGCGGCAAAGTTTGACGCCGGCACAAGTGTTTGTTTATTTTTTCGGAGTACAAGTACAATCATGGTGTAATGAACTGAAGGTGGCGCATTCCCGAAACCGCTACTTTGGTTATGCCGACTTTGACGTTTATGGCAATACGTAAACTAACTTGTGCAAACGTATTGCAAACGTATTGTGTACTTTCAAGTGAAAAATCGAAGTAATTCGTGCGTTCCATGATAAAAACATAACAAGGTAAAACCATTGAGAGGCAGTCTGACGTTTGCCAACAATATAATTTTAATATCAAAACTCAAACTCACACACACATTCTCATTTTCAATCTCAAACAACAACAATTGTGAACAATTTAATTTTTTTATTATCAATTTTATATGATTTTAAAATGTTGGCAAACGTCAGAAAAAAATCATGGCCGACGAATTGAGAGAATGAATTTACCTTGTAATGTTTTTATCATGGTGCGTTCTGAAGTAAAAAACGTTTTATTTGTAATAAAAAACTTTATAAAAATGTCGTGTCGTGTGTTGAATTGCAGCTGCCGTAGGGGTAAAGCCCCCAAATGCAGTTTTTTTTGTTGTTTCCCCGCGTCGACGCCTTGGCCAGAAAGTGGGTAGAGTTCTGCCGGCAGGAGAAGGCATACAATTTACACACCAGCAAAAGTGGTTGTATATTTTTTGTTAACGTTGTGCTTAATTTGCTATATTCAAAGATGGCTTGAGAAATTGGTTAATCGCGAAGAAAACACGTTTTCTCACTGCAAATTCCCAACTGTCAACCCATTGTTCTTCGCCATATTCTTTGTTTACCCGTTGCCACAAATGTCATTCTGCGGGAATGCGCAATCTTGTATTCTATCGTTCTTGAGTAAACAAGTATGTATGTAAGTAAGCAAGTGTTTGTGCTGGAATCAGCTGAGTGTTGCTTTTCGAATAACAGTACATTCCAACGACTTGTTTATACCCGAGCGCACTTGTGCACAAGGGTATTATAACTTTGTTCACATAACGGTTGTTTGTAACAGGCCAAACGAATCGAGATAGATATAGACAAATGTATACATAAATGATCAGAATGAAAAGAGAAATTGATTGAGCGGTGACTGTCTGTCCGTCCGTCCGACTGTACACCCCATAACTCGAGGAAAAATTGAGATATTTTAACGAAACGTTGTACGTGCACTTCTTTCGGGCATAGGACGGATGGTATTGAAAATGGGCAAAATCGGACAATAACGACGCCTACCTCCCATATAACGGTAATTTTCAGACATACGAAAACTGCGATACTTTAGTAACTACTGAAGATTATTCACTAAAAATTGATATTTACAATAATTTTTAGACGAAAAATAAGAATATTATAAATTTTTGGAAAATGGGCGTAGCCACGCCCACTTATGTTATATATATATATGTTAGCAATACGAAATCTTCGATAAATCAGTAAATATTAAAGCAAATTTATTCAAAATAAATGCTTGCAAATATTCTTTACCAAGAAATACGTTTATGATAAAATTTTGGAAAATGGGCGTGGCACCGCCCACTTATGATCACATATATGTATCTCGGTAACCGTTTTACCAATTTGTACCAAACTCGGTATGGTTATTGTGTTTGCCACACAAATGTAAAGCGTTGAAAATTATTGAAATCGGACTAAAATTGAGGCCGCTCTTCTTATAACGGTAAATTTCAGAAATGCTTGAACCTTTAATATTTCGAAATTTATGGACGCTAATTTACTCAAAATTAATACACCCCGGCTTACCAAGTAGCGGTAGTTTTTCGGAAAGGTGAAAATCATGTATTTAATACTTGCGCCGGGTATGTATATAATGTTCAGCTCCGCCCGAACTTAGGCTTTCCTAAACTTAACTTATAAACTAATTTTAATTTTTAGTGGTTTTGATAACAAAGCAAAAGAAGGTGTTCCAAATTAATCGCAAACGTAGTTGATGAGTTAATATTAACATTACATAATATAAATTTTCCTTTAATTTATTTATTTTTTTAATCTTTGAGTGGCACTTTTATGGTTTAAATATTCTACTAATAGTTGTGATCCCGTACGTGTCCGGAATAGTCAGAATTAGTCACATTTTCCGGAAATCGATTCCGTACTCGGTTCTCTGACTACTGAGAGGAAAAGAGAGTAAATAAGGTCCTCTCTCTCTCTATAAAAAGTTACTAGTTTTAGTCCGAAAATTTTTTGCTGGTAAATTTGGATAAATGTGTCAAACGATCAGCTTTTGTCTGTTTGACAACCAAATTGTTAACAAAAGAAAACTGCACGCTGCTAATACATGCTGAAAAGCACTTAATTACTTGTTCAAGTGAATTCTAATGAATTTGAAAGTATTTACATGAGTGAGCTGAGCGTGTTTGCATAAAAAATAAGCAAAAATTTACAACCAAAATTTGGAGGTTATGTTGAGGTTGTTAGAAGTGACAAGGTTTTACTAAAAAATGATACCGTATTTTTCAGTGTTACTCTCTAACTCTGAACGAATTTTTCATTTCTTGGCAGTTTTATTAGATTTAGTCCGAGGAATATGGCATTAGACCTATTCTTATTAGAAATGAATGAATGGAAATAAACAAAAGGAAAACTGTAAATACTAAAGGGTGCGCTATTCAAATGACGAGGAGTGTACGTAGATACCTAAGGTGGTTTGTTTTTGGTTACTAATGTGTCACGGTTGCCAGATGAAAAGAAGTACCCAAGCAACTTGGATTTGAGAAATCATATGATTCTTTTTCGGTATTACCCAGTAGATAATTTATTTAGGCCTTGTTCTTAAAGGCTCACCAAGGAAGGGCTGAAAATAATTACTTCCCTGCATGCCTTCATGAAGCGCTTTTCCTATTCACAATTTACGCTAATGTGTAAGTTTATATTAAGGGTATTCAAATCAAACTCATTAATGTCATAATTTTGTTATTTGTTAACTCGGTAACCTTTTTAACTTCGAATGTACCTAGCTCTTCCTTTTCCTAATTAAGACCCGATTTACATGATCCAAGCAATTCTTGTTCATTCTGTTTTATGTCCTTCATTTGTTTTTACACGCTTCAATTTTAAAGTCGAAACGACTTGACGGTACAGACGCATGTGCACTCTTTCCGTTTCTTCTAACCACCTCGCTTCCACTTGCAAGCACAATTTAATTCAATACTTCAACCGTGTAAAACCAATCTAATTTTCTCGTCAATAGATTACAGCACACAAGGGAAAGAAAGAAGTCAGCTGATGTTCTATTGACTGCCTCACTCAAATTATCAAGCTTGCGATTGATTTACTCGATAATTTTGTAAATTTACAACAAAAAATAATGGCGAAAATTATCGAATGCCGAATCAAGACATTAACGAGTTTGCTCTCAATACCCTTATTATTTAGCATTACAAATTAATTCAAAAATATGCATTTTAAATTGCAATAAAACTTATCTGATATGCACCTTAAATAAATAGCTATGTAAATAAGAATGTAGCTATAAAAGAACTCCTCCAAAAAGCCTCATGATGAGAATCGAAAGCAGAAATATAAAGGGAAAAGCACCTTGGCTCTCAGCAAGAACTTTTAGAAGGGCTTTTAGCTCCTCAAATTATCTACTGGGTAGTTCTCGTATTCGTATTTATTTGTATTGGCATTGGTAATCGTAATTACAATCGTAATCGTAACCATAATCATAATGGTAATGGCAATAGAGTAGTTATTAGAGTCCAGCGCAAGTGTATTTGCCGCATTTCGTTCAATAAGTACTCCTTGCATTGTACTCTACTCCCAACACATTGTTACTCTTTTTCCGCATACATACACTACTTGGCGTTGAGAGAGTAAATACTTGACGTACTTGCTATTACTCCACCAAAGTACGTACTCTACTTTCTCTCATCGCGCACGAGAGATATTTGCTGCTGCCAAAAGGGAGTAGCAAATCTACTCTCTGTATACTTGTAGTACGGTAAGTACTTGCGTATTAAATTTCAATTCTGGTTGTTAGCCTACTAGTTGATATCGTTTGCAGCGCTGGTCAGTGAAATTGAAAGAGTAAAAATAGAATATGGAAATTGACGATGTAAGGAAATGTTTACGGCCTTATTTATAAATATAACTAACTAAATAACGTAGATTTAGACAGTTGTTTAATGTGACATTTTCATAAAACTTTTGTATTCAAGCAGCTTTTTAAATCTATGTATGTACTTAAATTTTTATGAAGGTATTATTTCTCGTCTCCAATTTTCTATAAAACTATTTGCAGTCACTAACCAACAAATAAGTTGTCAAAAACAATAACTTAAGCAATGCTGCTATACGAAATAAAATTATTAGTGGCAAATCAAAATTTTGAAAAGTGCCGATTTTCACATTCGATAGTTGGACATGGTAGCGACGAGATGTACGAGCATTTTTTTCTTAAGAGCTGCATACTGATTTAAGAAATTTTTTATAGAGGCTGAATTTCTTTATTCATTCTGAACGTTTGGAATAAACTTTTTTTGATTACTTATTCTTTAGAACGTTCCTGATGATATGTTAACGTATATTTCAAACGTATTCTGTTTATTCCGGTTATGAAATGGGATTATCCGGAATGTATAAAGAAACGCAGCCAGAAGAAAATTTATTTTCCATTTATTGTGCGTAATTTTATATGAATTTTTAGTTTTTCTTGAGAGCCTTTACAAATAAAAAAAATTTCGGAATATGTACATACATATGTACATACATACATACGCAGCCATATAACTTGATTTCAAGAGAAACGAATTTTCATTTGGCACGTTCAGAAGGCGAAACAGCTCAGTAACTGGTGCGATTGCACCTTCTGAACGCGTTGTTGCGTACTTCTGATCAACTGAATAGTTGCGTGTTAGATGGTCGTAATATTTTTCTTATCATTTAAGACAACATGTTGGTGTGTACCTTTGAGAGTTGAATTTGACAGCTAATGTATGAAGTCGTTCAAAAGACGCATAACGATCACTGATTTTTGTTTAGCAACGGTTGCGCTCAACTGCTGCGCCTTCTCAACCTACCTATTGATAACTTTTTTTTTTCTTGATAACACTGCGACAGCTCAAATTGGTATTGAGTAAAACCAAATGCAAGATAGAGTTTTTGAATTTCATTGAGTTTTTTTAATAAATACTAAAATTAGAGGTGTAAGAATGGCGAAAGAAAAACTTTATCCGATTTTTTTAAATCGAAACTACATTTTTACATATGTACATGCATACATAAATATATTTAATATGAAATTGAAACTTTCACATCAATTTGCGCTATCTTCAAACCCATGGTTTCAATTGTACGCATATCGTCAGGGTTTTCCCCACAACTTGGTTTTGCTGCAGTGAAGCGACAGAACAAGTGACGAGAAAAAATATATGCGGACACTTACATATATATGTATCTATGCACATACGTATCTATGCACATACGTATCTATGCACATACAAAAACATACAAAACATACATGCAAAAAAAACATACATATGTACTTAGGTATGTATATCAGCATTTTAGTTGAAAGCACGGTTGCCAATTTGGCCGAAACGTACCATTTTTGGTACTTTTTTTTTGATTTGATACGATGGTACGTAACTTCAAGATTTGGTACGTTTTTACACCTCTGGTAAATAACATTGGCCGTAGTCATAGTCAAAATAAAGTCGACTTTAAAGTTAGTTGCAGCTTTTTGACATAATTTTCAATGGGATATCTGTCAAAAAAGCTGCAACTAACTTTAAAGTCGACTTTATTTTGACTATGACTACGGGCCATTATCTAAATAAAATTACTTCAAGAAAATCTCTTAACACAAAATTCACTTTCCGAAAAAGTATGCTTTCAATTTTGTAAAAAAGAACTACAACCCTGTTAGCTGCGATATGAAACAATCCTACCAACTTATGAATAACTTTTGTCTGTTCCAGCAACCGTCAGATTTATAGGGTGTATTCAGAAAAAAATAGGAACGGCTTCTGACTAAATCTTGTTAATCTGATAGGTACTGGAACAGACTATTTGCTTAATTCAAGCAAGCTGTAGTGTTGGTAGCACATCTTAAGAAAAGCCATTTGAGTGCACGCAAAATAGAGACATGGACAAGTAAGTACTTTAAATTCGATTTCTGCAAAATTTTTACAATATGTTAAACTATTTCAGGTTTATAATAAAAGAGAAAAGAGCTAAACCTGCTGAAGAAGAGGAAGAGTCCAGTGAAATCGAGGAAAGTTGCACCCCGGAGACAAGGTAGAGTTTTTGAAGTAAAAGCAATATGTGCACTGCAATTTTAAGTTTCTTTTTAGCGCTAACTTAAGAAGAAAATTCCGGCAGGAATGGCTGCAACAATTTTCGTGGCTTAAGAAAATCGATGGAGAAGCGTTTTGTGTGGCTTGCGAGAAAAGAATAACTAATAACTTATCACATTTAACGCGGCATGCCAAAATTAAGACACATTGCGCCAACCTTGAAAAGAAGAAAAACCAATTGAAATTGGATGAATTTGTTAACGAAGAAAGGGCAACATTAGCTAAACAGGTACGCAATGCGGAGTTTACAATTGTTGTTTTCTGTATTATGCACAATTTGCCCTTTCGGTTGGTCGATTATTTACCTGGTCTTTTATACGATTGCTGCACTGATAGTCAAATAGCAAAAGCGTTAAAATCCCACAGAACAAAGGCAACGTCTTTAGCTGAAATTTTAGGCGATAAATCAAAAAATAAAATTGTAAATGTGCTGCAAAAAAGCAAATTCTCGTTAATTGTCGACGAAACCACAGACTTGTCTTGCCGAAAAGCCTTAGTACTGGTTGTAAGATATTTCGACCAACTATCGCGTAAAGTAAAAGATCATTTTTTGCAATTGATTGAGTTAGATCAATCCGACTCCGAATCTATTTATCGAGCGATTAAATTGTTTTTTGAATCTCACAATATTCCTCTGTCAAATTTAATGGGTCTTGCTACGGATGGTGCAGGCACTATGGCGGGTTGTTTAAACGGATTGAAAACAAAGTTAAAAGCGGACGTTAACTTATTTTATATTAAATGTACGTGCCACTCCCTGCACCTTTGCTCCAGTTACGCGTGTAAAAAACTTCCGCATCAAATTGAGGAGCTATGTCGCAACGTTTACAAATTTTTTGCATATAGCCCCAAGCGTATAAAAGACTTCAAGGAGTTTCAAGACTTTTGTGAGGTAAAGCCCCACAAAATTCTAGGAATATCGCTTACCAGATGGCTTGCTTTGGAGGCAGTAATATCGCGGATTATCGAGCAGTGGGAGGCCTTGCAATTGTATTTTTTATCATGCTGCTTAGAAGTAAATGGAATAAAGTCACAGTACTTGGCGAATCTGATGGGTAATGCAGAACTTAAAGTTTACATACTGTTTTTAAGTTACATACTAAAAATTATAAACAACCTGAATAAGGAGTTTCAGGCAGAAAGCGTAAGGCTTCCATATTTATATACTAATATAGAAACACATTTTAAACTAGTCCTTAGTAACTATATTTGTGACAATTATGTTAAAAGGGCTAACGACCTAAGATTAATTGATGTACAAAATACTGAATATTTTCTTTCAGTCGATAAAATTCACATAGGCTCGAAAGCGGAAAAATATATTCAATCCGATGTTTTTACAAACGATCAACGGCATTCCATTAAGGTGAATATTCGTAATTTCTATATTGAATTGCTAAAACAAATATCAGTTCGGTTCGATTTCGGTAGACAAGATATCAAAAGTTTAGCTATTATAACTCCGCATAGTATTTTTTTCTGAAGCAGACGTATCTATTTTACCTTTAATAAAAGAATTTGCTCATTTAATCGACGATGACCCTGATGATATTATAACACAGTGGCGGTTACTCAGGATTAGGTGTGCTGATTTCAAAGACTACTCAAATCTTGAAGATTTTTGGGAGAAGGTATCCATAATAAAAAATGGGGTTGGAGAAAATGCATTTCAAGAATTAACAAATTTCGTCTTTAAGTTAATGAGTCTGCCTCATAGTTCTGCTGCCGCTGAACGCAGGTTTTTCGATTTGAGCTTGATTAAAACCAAACTGAGAAACAAGCTTGAATTTAAGACGCTAAACAGCATCATGTTGGTAAAAGATCTATCGGGAAGTGGTATAGCTTTGAATCAAGATTGGTCAGCACACGAATTCTTGTAGCTTGTGAGTTTGTACTGTGTGTTATGAATTATGACGTAAAACTGTTTTCTGGTGCATTCAGTTACGCATTCTAGATCATTTCTTCAAGGATACTAAAATATTACATATACATACCTTCGTATCTACGGTAGTATGCGTAACTGAATACACCTGTAAACCGTATTATCTCATAACACAAAATGTAGTGGATATCGTTTGCCGACTTTCGATCGCTTTATGCGAATTTTTATATTTTTTGTTTAATTATATGTATGTACGAATGTGTACGAACTGAAATATTTATACAAACGTGATATTTTCGCTTATTGATTTATTTTTTGATTCTCATTCTTGCTAAGGAAAATAATAATAATAACATTGTTTTGCAAATTGCAAAAAATACTCAAATACTGAAATGTTAATATAATAATAATATTTATTTTGTTATTTTCTTTGTTTTTATTAATGATATTAAAAGAATGTACAACCTGTATATATATATTTATGTCATTAAATAAACGGTCTCATTTTGCGAAATAATGAGTTTTTAAGGAAATATTTTGGTACTTTTTTTTGGATTTGGTACACTTTTTGGTACACAAAAATTTAGGGAAGTGGCAACCGTGGTACGTTTTGCTCGTCGCTCTCTTCATCGCTCCACTACATTCCTGTCCTTAGTTTTATTCAGATACCACAAATCCGCGATCCAGAAAATTCTTCTATCATTCTTGCCACAAATGTATGTTTTCTTCGAAAATACTCAAGTACTACCAGTAGAGTACTCTACTGTCAAATACCTTTTACTCGCAGTAGCTGCGGAAGGCAAAGTAAATACTCTACGCGTCTTGCTATTGATCGGTAGTTTACGTACGCTTGCAGAAACTGGTTTATGCTTACTCACACTTGACCCGAACGATGAGAGTAAAGGAGGGAAAGTATTTGCGCGGCGATCGGATGTCTTGTTAGGCCCTTTAAATGGAATTGCGCAGGAGTTTAGTAGTTATAGTAATGGTAATCGTAATAGTAATGGTAATGCTATTGTATTGTATTATTGTATTTGTTTGTATTTACTTATTGTATTATCATTGGTAATGATATTGGTAATAGTAATGGTAATGGTAATGATAGTGGTAAAAGTAATGGTTATGGTAATCGTAACAGTAATGGTAATCATAATCGTAATGTTAATGGTTATGGTATTTACAATCGTAAACGTAATCGTAATCATTATCGCGAGCTGAGTCATTGGTACACATATGTACATATAAATACATACATAGCCTCAAGACGACAAGGATATGTAGTGCATTTTAAAATCGGTAGGCGCTGCTGATTAACATGGTCGCTTTACTGGCACTATGAACTTCCTATAATACATGTACTTACATGTATAGGCGTGTGTTTTAACTGCTTTGCCTTTAAGTCAATTTTTGCAGGAGTGTGTAACGCACGACAGGACATTTCGTACGGACAAAGTATTTAAAAACAGCAACAGCCATAAACTTTAATGAAGACAAAGGCAATAATGCAGACACACACCCACCTGTTCAACCACAAAGCGATTGTGGCAGCAATAAAAGTACATACATACATATATTAGTACATATGTACGAACACTAAAGGTCAACGAATTTGCAGAGCACACTGTGCAAAGGACAAAAGATGAACTCCTTTATTGTTTGCAAACTTGTGCATATGAATGCGGGCAGCATATGTACATATATCCAGCGAAGACAAAGCCAACAGAATACAAATAAAATCAAAATGGAAATAAAAACAAGTAAGAAAGTCTAAGTTCGGGCGGAGCCGAACATTAAATACCCGGCGCAAGTATTAAATATATGTTTTCCACCTTTCCGAAAGCTACCGCTACATGATAAGCCGGGTGTATAAATTTTAAGTAAATTAGCGTCCTTGAATTTCGAAATATTGAAATTTCAAGCATTTCTGAAATTTACCGTTATATGAAAAGCGGCCGTAATTTTAGTCCGATTTCAACAATTTTCAACGGTTTGCTTTTCTGTGGCAAGCACAATAACCGTACCGAGTTTGGTACAAATTGGTAGAACGGTTACCGAGATACATATATGTGATCATAAGTGGGCGGTGCCGCGCCCATTTTCCAAAATTTTATCACAAACATATTTCTTTGTTAAGAATTGTTGCAACCATCCATTTTGAAAAAATTAGCTTTAATATTTACTGATTTATCGAGGATTTCGTATTTTTCTAAATTATCGTTATATGGGATGTGGGCGTGGTTATTGTCCGATTTAAAAAATTTTCGGCCATTTGGTATGCTGTACCAGGGCCAACAACTGTGCCAAGTTTGGAAGAAAGTGGTGCAGCGGTTACCAAGATATGTATATACATGTAACCATAAGTGGGCGTGGCTACGCTCATTTGCCAAAATGTTTTAATATTCTTATTTTTCGTCTAAAACTCATTGTAAATGTCAATTTTGAGTGAATTATCTTTAGTAATTACTAAAATATCGCACTTTTCGTATTTCTGAAAATTACCGTTATATGGCAGGTAGGCGTGGTTATTGTCCGATTTCGCCCATTTTCAATACCATCCGTCCTACGCCCAAAAGAAGTTCCCGTACCAAGTTTCGTTTAGATATCTCAATTTTTACTCGAGTTATCGTGTGCACAGACGGACGGACGGACGGACGTACAGACAGTCACCGCTTAATCGATTTCTCTTTTCATTCTGATCATTTATGTATACATTTGTCTATATCTATCTCGATTCGTTTTGCCTGCTACAAACAACCGTTGTGTGAACAAAGTTATAATACCCTTGTGCGCAAGTGCGCTCGGGTATAATGACAATGACAAAAGCGACTGAGCGATAAAACTTTAGTGAAATTAGTAGAAAACTAACTGAGGCACGTCCTGATGCAGATGAGCGAGTATATATCTTGATACATATGTATGTATGTACATTAGGGTCGTCCAAAAATGCATGTGAAAATGTTAAGTCGGAATTTTTATGTTCTATACCGAAAAAATATACCCCTATTTTTTTTGAAATCAAAAAATATTTAGAGTTCGCGCAAAGCGCTCAAAGTTTTCCATGTGTTTTATATGTGGAAAAAAAACTACTTTTCGTAGAAATAGTATAGAATTATTAAAAATTAATACTTTTCTATCGGAAAACTCTGTTTCTCTGCAAAAGATTCTCAGTAATAATACCCAATTGTTTATTTAACCATTTTTCATCGAAACTATAATTTATAGGCCCGCCAAAAACCCTAAAAAACGCCGAAAAATTCAAGGGGAGGACCAATAAAAAATCATTAGTATTAAAAATTGGTTAAATAAACAATTGGGTATTATTATTAAAAGTCTCCCGAAGAGAAACAGAGTTTCCGATCGAAAAATATTGATTTTCAAGATTTCTATACCATTTCTACGAAAAGTTGTTTTTTTCCCTATAAAAAATAGATATAGAACAACCCTAGGGGGTGAGAGCATTACAATTCCGACTGAATTCTGTTGTTTGGACCACCCTAATGTACATATATACATGAGTATGCGCGAATAAATACTTTGCAAGGTAGCGCCAAAGCTAATTCCACTGGGATGACGCGAAAGGACATTTAAGCAAGCATACAAGAAAGCAAGTAAAGGCATTAAGTTGACGATAGCTGAGAAATAAACGGGACTCAAATGACCTTATATTAATTTTTGTTTTTGTTAAATGTTGCTGAGTACTGAGAAAGAACTATGTATAGTTGTTGATACGCTGTTTTGTACTTTAAACGACGATATTAAAGTAAGTCGAAAAGGCGGGTACATAGGAAAGGCAATTTTGAATGAACTCAGAGGAGAGCTAGCTATTTACTTTTTTTGGAAGTATCGAGAATGTCAGTAAAGTATGCCAATCCTAAAGTATTCTAAAGAGTAATAATAAATGCGTAGAATGAAAAAAAAAATTAAATAAGCAAGGATCAGGAGTATTTACAATAGCGCAGGCCATTTTTTTCACAAAGCGCGTATAGCATAGGAGGATTCTACGTGTAATTCTAATCAAATTTTCCGAAGAAACCATGGATCTAAAATCAATTTGGAGTTTGCCAAATTGCGAAAATAGGTTTATTGATACTTTGCTGTAGTGTCGTAAAAAATTGCCCTAATTTTGTATAAAAAAAATAAAAAAAAAAAATTTCCAATGCAAATTGACCCGCTCTAATGTACATACATATGCGCATATGCATGCTCTCTATCGAATTCATTCGTTTTCTAACTTACAGGCTCTCATTTAAAAATTCTCTTAAATGAATGTTGCTTATAATTCAACAGCCGAAATTTAACGTAACTTAATGCCACGTCGAAATCTGTTTCATTTTGATTCTCTAAGTTCTATGTTCTGTTAAGTCAAGTTGCCTTTTTTGATAAAAATTGCGTCCAAATGGCTGCTTAAAGAATTTAAAGAAAAGGACTTTTATGTACATGCATACATACTAGGGTGTTCGATTATTCGCATTTTTTTTTCTAAAAACCGGCTTTCGAATTATGCGAAAAGTTGAAATAAAACCGGTGCCCGATTTTGAAGTAAAAAAAAAACGGATAAACCGGTTTTATTTTACATGATTTTCATACAGTGAAAATGCTTATGTTGGTATGAAGCCATGACCAATAATTACAACAAAACTATTAATAGTAAGCATAGCTTTTGTTTAGAAAAGAGTAAAGCAAAATAAGTTCCAAGTTTCTTTTAGATCAAAAGTAAAACAAATAAAAATCAATGACAAATTCTCCTTTGGCCTTATTTTAACTTTTTTATACTTTTTTTCGGATTTGAGTAGTGCTCTTACAGCCGTAGCCGGGTGCTTAGATGTGCTGCTACTGCCACTCGGTTCAATTTTTGGTTCCAGAAACATCAACAAACTTTTTCAAATAGGAGTATACCTATGCCATAAAAAAGTTAATATAATTTTCAAACTATTTAGAGGGTTCCCTTAAACTGGAAAAAGATTTGAAAACTTTTAAAAACTCAAAACTTTTAATAAAAGGGCAAGATTTGTGTGAAAATAAAAAAAAAACCGGCGTGTTCAATAAAAAGATCCGATTTATTTGATATTCGAAAAATCAAGACTTCAAAAAACCGCCTTTAAGTATAAAAAAAAAATCGGGTTGGAAAAACTGAGTCAATCACCTTAGGTGATAGTAATGGTAATGGCAATGGCATGGGTAATGGTAATGGTTAAGCTAATAGTAGTGGTAATGATAATACTAATGGTAATGGTAGTCCTCGTTTTCGTTTCTCAGACGCCTTCGAGGTCTTACTCGTACTCATATTTGTCTTCGTCTTCGCTTTCGTTCGTGTTCATATTTATCCTCGTCTTCAGCTTCTTAATCATCCTCTTTGTCGTCTTCGCTTTCGTAATCGCCAATTTGGTCTTGGTTTTCGAATTCGTTTTCGTATCATACGTCTTCGTCGTCTTACTCGTATTCGTTTTCATCGTCGCCTCCGTCATCGCGTTCGTATTTGTGACCGCCTTCGTGCTCATTTTGTGTTCGCCTTCGTCTTCGGTGTGTTTTTTTTTTTTTTGTAAATAACTGTTTCTTTTTCAAGGATAATGGACCACATCAACTTGGAGCAAATTAAATGTAGAGGTTTGACGCAAAGTATTTGTAAAATACATTAAACTTTAGATTAAACAGCACAGCCTAATGAAACATACAAATGTTTACATATGTACATATCAATGTACCTATGTATGTATGCACATATATGGGCAAATCTAAAAAATAGGTACACTTTCAAAAAAAAATCTAATTTTTAAATTTGTGAGCACACCTATGTTTTATATATCATTTTATTCGTAATCTCTTAATAAATCGATTAATATAACTGTAATTTATCAAGTGCTTCAAAAATTAGACGAGGAATAAACATGAAATAGAAAACAAAAGAATAAGCTGGGTTCAAATTACGCTGTTCAAGTTGTAAAGTTTGAGCAAAGAATTTGAAAGTTGAGCTAGCTTAATTGGGACGTTCTAAATACAATGGCATGCCCCGTTTTACCAGATTGGCTCCGGTTTTCGAGTTAACGGTACTTGAAATTTTGACTAAATTTTAACTCTTTTATAAATAACTCCCTCGGTTTTGAAGTTATTTTACTAAAATTTTGCACATAATGGTTTTTTAATATTACCTTAATTATTCCTTCAAATTATCGAAATAGGTTTACATTTACATATAGGTCCAATACAACTGATTACTCAGATATGTGT